GTGGCATCAAAAGCAGCTGGGGACCTCCCTTCTGCAGCTGGTAGGAAGAGCGTATACTCCTCACGGCCTGTTCTTTCTCTTCCTTACTCTAAATTCCTCTGTTTTCATTCATGGCATTTTAGCATACAGTTACGAGTGCCATTAAGAGAGCTGAATGATGGTGAACATCATGGACTTCCCTATGGCAAAGTAGAGAAGACAACACTAATTATATGAAATATAGAAATCTTGCTTTCTGCTCTGCTGCTCTCTTCTGAGCCGAAGCAAAGAGCTCTTCTGTTCCTCACTGAGCAACACCTGCTACACAGAAACTGTCCCTAGGGAAACCAGCAGGAGCTGAATTTAGTGAGCAGCCTTTTCTAAGGCAAAAGACTCTTTCCATTACACCACTGAGACTAAAAGTAGCTCTGGTAAAGCAATAGTGGCTACTGCTTAACCCTGTAGTTCAACTGCAGGTCTATGGTGTATCAGTTGATCTCTCAGTCAGATCCTGCAGTTACTTCTCAATTGTTAATTCTCTCATTCAGTGTCAGCAGGAGAACTTAGAAAGCCCCAATGGTTTGGGAACTGTCTGTCCCACGGCTTGCTTCTGTACTTGCTTGTGCCTGTCATCATCTGTGAAGTCAAGCCAGCTTTGGTTGGTGTCAGCAGTTTTTGTCCTGATGGATCCTGCACCATTAAGCATCTTCATCATCCAAGAAAATCTATGGGCTATTCCGCAACCCAACCCATGAGGCATATCCATCTTCTGGATGAGCTTGGGGAGCTCAAAGAACAGAGGAGAAGGAGCAGGACTGGTTTGTGAGGCACCTCATGGATGTGGGGCTGGACTGGTTCAAGTAAGCTGCAAACACAGCCTTCCATGAAGGGAAAGAACAGGAGAGTCGATAATGGGAAAAGCATGTCACAGGGGAGTATCAATCAGGTAAGAATAGACTTGCTGTGTTTACATGGCACCTTCCCCAGATGTGCTTTGCTATCTTGCTGACAGTAACTGCTGACGCATTCCCGATGCTGCCATCCACACTACATCTAACCTTGGCTCTAGTTTCAGAAGGAAACCCAAGCCAGTTGCTGGACACAGCGACTGTTGTGACAACACACCCATACTTAACCCATAGGCAGCAGGATACCACAGCTGGGGAAGCACAGATTGCTGTGAACACCGAGCACTGAACATTCAGTTCCCTCTGAGATCACCCATCCGTGTTTCCTTACTCTTTCCACCTAAACCTGCCCTGGTACCTTCTGCCATCATAAGCCCCATCTTCATCCCATAGCACATATCATCTTGGAACCTTGCCCTGCAGAACTGTGGGCACTTACTTAGTGTTGCCCGTTGCCACAGCAGAGAGTAAAGCACAGACATCCCGCCTGCCTTATTGCAGGCACAAATAAACACACTTGGTAAGCAAAGGCGAGTTCATTGTTGGTATACTTGAAGTCTTACGTGTGTGATCAAAGAATGTTTAGTCTCTATTTGTTACAGGAAAAGAAGAAAACTGTTGTTACATTATTATATAAAACTACACAGAAACAAAGGGAGAACAAGTGAGGCAACAGCCATCTGGTCATGAGAGAACTTGCAACAGCCAAACAAGCTAAAACAAAGCTCCAGGCAGGCAAAGAGAAGTTCAGACACCACCAGCCTGGCACATCCTGAGGCCCTGCAGGGCTGCAGCAAAGCTGGTGCCCGGCTACCTGCTGTGGCAATGCTGCACTTATTGAGCTACCAGCAGAGATTGACGGTCGGGATAACCCCAGTGGTTATGGACATACTTACATATAGCTGGATGCATACTTAGCATGCATTGTGTAGGACTTAGCATGCAGTCCTAGCAAAGCAGAGACTGATGAAACAGACCTGGGTTTTCTTTCATTCCCAAACCATCCCAGATCACATAATTCAGCCTTACTGGACCTGGGTTTTGCAAATATCAATCATTCCTGTCATCTGCAGTCTGATATATAACCTGCCTGAGGACTAGATACTGATGCAGGGTTCAGCATGTAACTGCAGAACTCAGCATTTCCTTGCGGGCAGTATTACACTGTGGTTTGTACTCAAATGTAATCACCAGAATATGGAGATGATCTGGCAAAATCTGTCAGCTCTTTGAGGGCCACTGCTCGTTCTGCAGACAAATGCACTTACAATTTCAGTGAGGAATACTTACAGTGTGTGTGGGACATGGCAATGTTCAACACCACAGATTGCAATTATACCCTTGACAAGTTAGGTTTACTCAAGTACCCTTATGGTACCGTTTAAGATTAAGCATACGTGCACTATATGATAAAACTGTGAGATGCAAAAGCTCATTAGCTTTATAAGGGGCTGGAGCACCTCTCCTATGAAGATGGGCTGAGAGAGTTGGGATTGTTCAGCCTGGAGATGATGGGGAGACCTCTGAGCAGCTTCCAGTGTATAAAAGAGCTAACAAGAAAGCTATAGAGGGGCTTTCACGAGGTCATGTAGGCATAAGACAAGGGGAAATGGCTTTAAGCTGAAAGAGGGGAGATTTAGATATTAGATATAGGGTGCCCATAGAAGCTGTGGCTGCCCCATCCCTGGCAGTGTTCACGGCCAGGTTGAACGAGGCTTGGAGCAACCTGCTCTAGTGGAAAGTGTTGCAAGGGTTTGGAACTGGATGAGCTTTAAGGTCCTTCCAACAGAAAACATTCTGTGATTCCATGATTGAGGTTTTTGGCCACTTTTCAGTGGACCAGTCTCAAACATGCTGCAGTCTTTAGGGAACATGCATCAATATAATTGTTCAAGAATAAATGTAGTAAACTTGTCTGTGTTCTAAAGTAAAACGTTGAGGAGAAGTAACAACAGAAATGCTGAACAGTGCCCATGTTCACACAGCAACAAGGTGACCCTTCATACAGGTAAGGGAGAAAATGATCAATGACTGTGACTTGAAGTTTTCATTCTTTGGCTCATGGATGCTGTTAGAGCTGTTGCTTTGTGTCAACCTTCACTCTTAGCAGGTTTTCTATTAACCATTCATTTCTTCTATACCCACAGGAAAATCCTTCTCTTATAAATTTATTTGCAACTACATTTTAATATCCTCCACTCATTTTACTACCTTTACCTTCTTCACCGCTGTTCTTTATGTACTTGGAAAGCGTAAGGATCCCAGCTGGGTTATAAATCCATGTAAGTAAAAACTTACTGGAACAGCAGTGCTGCCAGGCTTCCAGTTTGCAGAGCTACAATGGAAGAGTAATTGTGAACTGGATGCTATAGCTGTAGGTTTTCTTTGTGAGCAGACACTCCAGATGTTAACTGCTTTCACAGATGAAGGCAGAACATTTAAAGTTTGGGTTAATGTTTATGTACACAACAATACAGCTTGATTACAAAGCGTTCCCTTGAAAACAATGAAGTCCCTTAGGGTTTAGAAGCGCACAGCATCAACTCTGCCTCGTGTACATGAGTTTGATTTTCAATTAAGGAAGAACAAATTAGGTTAAGTGCATTAAGCCAGAAGCACATGAGGTTAGTTTTCTCCCAAGCACTGAATACAGCAGCAGTATCTCAGCATCAGTATTTATCATGAATTTAAAACACATTTCAGAGAACAAGGTTTCTGGACTGGTTCATTGCTGGTTGTATGCTCTGCCTCCAGCTAGCTCTGAATGACTTCTGTTGCAGTGCAGCTTTTATTAAACGTTTAACAAGGGATTCCTTTTTTCAAACACTTGTTTCCTGAAGGTAAAAACTGTATCTGATTCAAGAGGATGCTTCCTAATCACACAGAGGACAGACCAGCTGCAGGGAGACCAGCATATGCCTTCTGGACAGCCAGGATCAGTCACCATACAGACTGCTCAATTTAAACATGTTGGTGCATTTCATGTTATCTCCAGGTTAGGGGTACCTGATCCTGCAGCCCCTTTCCTTCTGGGCTCACAGGACTACCAATGCATTACCAAACACTGGTCATGTAGAGTGATGCGTTCCTGTTTATACCAACATTGTGTCAGGAAAACAAAAGTTCAGAAGTTGGGCAGGAACACACTGACTTTATGAACGTGGGTTTAGATCTGTGTGCCTTAAGTGCAAACTCTTAAGGACCATACTCTCAAGGCCACCCACCTTCCTGACTGCGAACCTCCTACCTACCCAACCTTCGTTCTTCTGCAGACAACCCTTCCTTCTGCAGACTCAGAGAAACTGAATTTGCTTGGTTAACAAACATTTCGCACTGTAATTAGATTAATCTGTAACACAACAGTAATCTTGGTTATGTTTGGCTAAAACACACTACCTGAACTTTGAGAAAACACAAAGTTTTTATTATTACAGAGAACTCTTCCCTTTGAAGGTGCTGAGGTGCTGGCACAGGGTGCAGAGAAAAGGTGTGGCTGCTCCATCCCTGGCAGTGCTCAAGGCCAGGTTGGACACAGGGGCTTGGAGTAAGCTGCTCCAGTGGAAGGTGCCCCTGCCTGTGGCAGGGGGTTGGAACTGAGCAAACTTTTAGGTTCCTTCCAACCCAAGCCACTCTATTATTAAGTGATTCTATGGATGTCAACCACCAAAATGCAAATCCTTTTTCTCAGAGAAGGCCAGAGGCTTGACAGGGAAATTCTTCCTTTTTCCAAGAAAATACAAAACAGGCAGCAGCACCATAGTACCGTCAGCAATTTTAAAAGCAGCCCAAACATTGTACTTGGAATTATTCCAGTTCCACTAAGTTTGTGAAAGCTAAAAATTCTTGGACAGACCAATTCTGGGGAATGAGACAGGGACCCTCTTGAGCAGCCACACTTACTCAAATTGCTGCATGTAAGTATCTTGACTGGGCTGTGGTGTGAGGAGGTAACAGATAAAGAAAACGACTAAGGGGTGAAGAAATCCTGGGCCACAGTCTCCTAAGACACAAGCTGACCTGTTGAAAACACCCACTTAACATTTCATTTCACCAACGATGCTGTAAACCCAAAAGGAACCTCTCTCCCATAACAAAAGGAGTCACCCCCCCCAATGCAACCAGTATGTAATAAGGATTTTATTGAATACATTTAAAAAACAAACTAGAGCATGAAGACATGAGATTAATTTCTGCAGGTAAGTTTTCTGAATGTGCAGAATCAAACAACCATGCAAACAGACATCTCCCCCCTTCCAACTGTAATTCAAGACTCTTGTAATGGCAATATTATTACCACCTTAAAACAGTGTTCCAGACACATAATTCATAGCTTTAAAAAGGATCTTGTTCCTGAACACAGATGAAAAAAAATTTAGTAGCAATTGGGCAAGGCCAGTGATTAACAAGTATTTAGCCAATACTCATGCTATGTGTAAAGAGTGCAAGCAAAAAATGCATCATTAAGTAGAATAAGTAATTCTTCTGTTCAAGGCAAAATTCCTAGTAAAACTAATCCCTAAACTACTGAAATGGTGACTTGATAATGTACATGTTCCAGAAGATCATCCCATGGAAGATCTGTTTTCTCAAGTTACATCAGTGCCATGTAAAATATAAGAGTCAGAGTAGCTGGACAGCAAAGTGCTTAATGGTATATTAACATTAAATTCCAGCTCCTCCAAGAAACGTTTCAGGTATCAGATGTAATGCTAGGTAGGAACATGGGCTTATACATGAGGGAAAAGATTAAGATTTCTGTCACAAATTTGCATACTCATGCAATTTTTCATGTTAAAAAGGGATTCTGGAGGAAAGGTTTTATCTGCCATCTGAACAGTCAGTTCTGAGACTCGCAATACACTGTCTACGTGTGTAACACGTAAACCCACACTGAAACGCACCACAGCCTTTAAAGACTCATTTGTTATAAAAGTATACTATACCACATGAAGTTAACCAACTTGTTAAATACAGAACAACTTCTGAAAACTCGAATAGAAGGGTACATTTAACAGCAAGTATTCCAGTACATACCTGTTTGCAATTTCATTTCACTATTATTAGACAGGTGAAAGCCTGTACTGTCAAAGATCAGTTTTTAAGCCTTGCTTCTGGGACAGTCCTGTGATTTATTTTGGTTTCACCTTCTCTCCACATTTACTACTAAAAGCTACAGCCAAAGCAATATTCCATTGAAGTTTCAGCTACCCCTAACTCTTTTGAGGTGCTATTACATGAAATACTGAGATCAAACACCGTATGTTGAAACCTGCTCTGAGCACTGCTCAGAACATTCAACTTGGGTAACTGATGCAGCTTTTGCAGCTTGATGATGAAGACATAGTTATAAGCTGCTAAGAATTAATGCAGTTAAAAGACTTGTGGCAGTCTACACCATCTGAGAGTTTATCCTTTTAGTCTGGAAAACATCACAGGCCACTGAAAACTAGACTGTTACTTGTAAAACCTGTACCTTCCTGCCTCATTGAAGCTGTGGACCTTTTGTATGCTTGCTTACATTTTGAACATGTGAAACTTAAAAGGGGATTTATTGGTACTGATACAAGAAGTCATTATGGAACTCTGAAAGCACCTTTAAGTTTGAGCTGAGAGTATGAACAACAGGAAAAGAGGAGGAGGAATGAATAAAAAGCAAAAGCGAAGACCATGATTACAGCAGCATTCTACTTATGGCCAAGCTGTCTCAGCTATCACCAGTTTGAAAGAGCCTATCAAACTTAGGGGATCCCAAAGTCTCAGCAGAAGGGGCCACTCACCAACATTGCTCTCTGTTTAGCATTTGGTCTACTAAGGGAGCACACAGCTTGCTAGAAATACCATTTTTCCCCCAAATCCCATTTCCATTGTAGCTCTTTAAAATGTATTTTACATAATGTAAACCTACTGCATGTGTGGATGCAAATATATTGAAAATATGTTAAAAATGTAGAAAACATTTATATAGGATATTTATATATCCATATGGCTAGACACACATTTGAACTTGCTTGTTAAGTAAGATCTTTATCCTGGCATTTGAACACTGCTCATTTTGCTGTCCAAGTTCAGAGTTCTGCATACAAAACCACAGATGGCATGCTAGTAGCTACAGCTATCTAGAACTTTTCATTGAATAGCACTGAAGTGACTATTCTCACTATCACACCAATGTAAGCTCTGCTTGTCAGTTCAGAACACATCAGGGAACAGCTGTTCAATTTTTAGAGGACCTTTTTCAGGCATACAGTTTTTTGTGAGCTTGCACTCCATCACTTCACAGCATTGATTTGACATTGACAAATTTATATATGGGGGGGGGAGGGAGAAGAGAAACCAGAAGGCATTATTAGAGGTTAATAGAACCTTTTAAACAGAACTTAGAGCTAAAACTTTTAATAGGGGCCCAAGGAAATAAGTAACCACAGTCTGTTCAAGACTGTGAGGAAACAGGATCTTGAAATGAAGGTAAAGAAGCACCAACGCAAATTCCATACATGTAGCACCAGCCTGACTTTCTTGGTGCTTGGGGATGGTTTCTTTGGTAATGCATTTCCTACTACTTTAAGCATGAAGTAGGATTTCAAGTACTGCTAAAGAGCTCTGAGCTCATGTCAAATTATACTTGTTACAGAACAGTTAAGGTTCTTAGAAATCCATATTTAACTTCAGAATGACTTTACTATGTCCTGCGCCCCTCTTGTAATTACCTAGGTCCACCAAGGTAGGCAGATGACCATCTGCACATTTCTAAGTCCACAGGACAGCTTGTTTATAAATACAAGTTTTGGCACAATAAATAATGATGTACAAGCTTCCACTTGCATTAATCTGCCTCACTCCTGGAAGTGCTCAAGACCAGGTTAGATGGGGCTTTCAGCAACTTGGTCTAGTGGAAGGTGTCACTGCCTATGGCAGAGGGGTTGACACTGGATGAGCTTTAAGGTCCATTCTAACCCAAACCATTGTATGATATGATTCTATGATTTTGCATGACCTTATACACAAAATGCTGGGTTTTGTTCAGTTGCAACCCAGAATTAAGAAACTATTTGAAGCAAAAAGAGAAAGCAAGGTCACTGCATGTGTTGCTGCTTGGGCAAAAGTCTCATCTTTAAAACTATTCTGTTTTCAGCCACAAAATGTTACTGATGCAGAACTCCAAATAAATATAAGGTCTTAATATCATATTCCAGTGCTTTGCTTATGCTGCTTGTAAGAAATAATATTTAACATATTTCAATTCAGAAGTGCAATTATGATTTGAGACAGACATTTTAAAGCTTGCGTTTTGTTTCTCCTAAGATTTATCCTGTAGATAGCTTTTTAGATTACCATCTTCAGAAACAAGAGCTATGCGTATCTTCATGGAAAAAAACTTCCTGGAACACCTACAGCATGTACTGGCTTCTACTACACATATCCACCTACTTTGAGAAAAAGACTCAATTTCAAGTATTGCAGAATTGGACAGAATATACCCTGTCAAATATATACAGCATCCTGGTAATTTCACAATAGTCTGCTGTTTGTATAGTCTCCACAGATGAGATGCTAAGTTATTCAGCCATTTCACTGTCCACTTACTTTTTTTATTTCAATCTGACCTCCTGCTTTTATACATGAAAGACTGCAAGAGTCAGCAGTACTGAAATCCTTAGCAAAATACTGTTTATTCCATCCCTCCACAGCCAACTGGAACTGAAACAAACCTTAGTTTCAGAAGACAGAAACGTAAGCCTGTGTTTTTTGATATTTATATGTCTTTTTATTCTAGATGTAGAACTGCATGCTAACCATTTCATGAACTCAGATTTTTGTATCTGTATTACTGTATGCTTCATACTGAACGGAACAGTACTGAATCTAACATGTGCCACCCAGCAGATCCAGTCTAAACTGAATACTTGAAAATTCAGCACTCACAGTGGACAGAAATCACATCTATTTAGATAGTCAGTACATGGTAGGTAAGGTTATAAGCAAAGGGCAACAGCTCTTTTTACTCTAGATCTCCATGGAGACACTTCAACTAGCATAAATACACTCACTGGAGCAAGAGCAGAAATAGCTATTACCCTTCCAGCTTACACCCCCATTTACCATACATCAAATTTCTTTGTATAATGGAACATACGATCAAGTATAAAAAAAATGACTCTATATAAAAGTTAAAATATTTGATTACAGTAGCAAGTCACCACTTCATAATGGAAATAACTTGTCTCTTGGAATCATTATTGATCTGAACTCTCTTTTTGTTGTTGTGTGTTGGATACTGGTAATTCAAGACTTGCCCATAACAGGGGCTCTGCTTTCCTCATAGTGAGCTCGATCTTTGTAGCCGTCATGTTCACATAACTTCTCTTTACGTCGATTACCTAGAACAGAAAACATATTTCACTCTTCAATTTAAGAAAACAGGCTGCTAGATACTCAGGAATTAAGTTCTTGGGAATTTATCGCTAAATTTCAGTTGATGTTTAGGTAGAAGGAGTTCCCTTTTGTTATTTAGAGAAGTCATCCCTCTCCCATTCCCAAGCTATGAACATACATATGGCGACAGGTATGAAACATATGCAGTGGTCTAACACATACATAAGCATACAGCTATATAGTGCCAAAGGTTTTTTGCACCACCACTCTAATGGAAGTTGTGATCAAGGAAAGACCTCCGGGGGTCACTTTCTGCTCAAAGCAGTGTCAACTACGTTGTCACACCTGATCACCTGGGGCATTAGACTCAGATTTAAATGTAATTAATGAATGCAAGTAACTGAATTTCTTTCAATAAGTAGAGTAACCAAGCAAATCAAACTGTTGTGAAAGAGAGCAAACTGAGGTTTGTGTTTTGCTGGGTTTTTTTAAGAATAGAAAAATTATCCTTATACTTACTCCCCATAGTTTCACACTGCGATGAAATTCCTTATCTCCTTCAAATACAATATGGATATTTAACTTAACAGGAAAACAAGAGAAAATTTTGTCAGGCTAATAAAACGTCTGACACATCAAATATGTTTAAGCAAAATATATTACATTAGCACACAGACCCTACAATAAGCAAAGTGATCAAACTGTGCCTCAGAAGTGAAAACCCATTCTAACAGTTTCTGGTACAGTACTGTAGCCAATAGTGGCCATATATACATCCTAGAAGCTGTGTCATTTTCTTCAAATGCACGATTAATAAATCAGTGAAGCATTTTAACAGCTGCTTAATACTAGCAACTGAGAAGCTGCATATCGTGAAGAACACTATTAAATTACAATAAGCCAAATACAATTTAATTATGAATCTATTTACACATATGGTAATGCAAATCCATCACACGTGCGTTTCAATTGCAGAAGTCAAATTAAAGAGTTTTTGTTTTTACATATTATATTGCATGTTAAACAAAGACCATTAAAGCACAGATGTCCAAACAGAAGGGAAAACTCCAAGCTATACATACTTGAACAAAAACAAATGCCAAGAAAAAGCCGTTACTCAAGTAATATTCTTATGCTCCTTCTGCCTTGTACATAAAGTAGAAGCCAGATTTTCCTAACTTCAAGCTGCTATAAGAATTTAAAAAGAGTTACTTCTTAAGGTAAATGCTCACCATTGTGCTATTTGCTTCTACGTAGCTCAGATCAGGAACAGAGTTTTTAGCATACACAGAAATAGTCACTTCTCCTCCAGTCTGGTGCCAGTCATGCCTGCATGGAACTACTTTCTTACCCTATGTAACAGAACAGGTACAGAAAGAAAAAACTTGAAACTACATTCAGGAGTATTTTTACAAGGTTAATTCAGGGTAAAAGCCCAGGACTATCTGAATAGCCAGTAAGCACAGCTAATAAAGAGCTGTATTTCATGTTCACAGAAGACTGCAAGACTCCACTTACATCTCTTTTCACTAAATATTTTAGCTATTGGTTCCTGACAAACCTTAGAAGTGAGAAAACCAATGCTCATGACAGAGACAACAATAAGAAACTAGAACATTCTGACAGGGAAACAAAAAAACCCCGAACAACAAAACTGTTGTTATTTGTTGGATTAACTTCCTTCCCAAGACTACAGCTATCCAGCAGGTTGCAGAAAGAAACTGAACAAAGAAACAAGAAACCCAGCCATGACTTCAAGAAACTTCCAAATTACTGCAAAAAAATATTGAATATTACCTTCTGTTCTCTGATGCAGGAAAAATAAATGGTGACAAAAAACCCAAAATGACAAAAAAATGTAAAGTACACCTCCCTCCATTAGCCAGAAGACCATTATCTCAATATGCACATATTTAATATACAGTTTCTTAAAATTTGGGTAAAATCTTTACAAGAACACTCTTCTGCTTCAGGCTCACAATTTCAGCTTTGTTCATAATCCCTCCTTTCTGTATTAGAAAATAATTCTTAACCAGAAACATAAAACTTGAAAGGAAGCAGCGGTTCCATGACTTAAAGGAAATAAAGGATCTGTGAAGTAATTACTGCAGAATGAAGTAGCAGAATTACCACTTTCTATCATACATCTTTATTTTCTTCTGTTAAATCACAGAACCATAGTACGCTAGCAATATCTAACCCATTTTGTCTTTGAATCAGACAATATATTTATATGAAGAATTCTGGCTCACCTGCATCCAATATGTGACCAGTGTTCATTCCATTATTACATTCTATAACATTATCTGAGAATCTTTTTAAACCTTGAATGGAAATATTTTCACCCTGTTATTCTGCAGTTTGCTCCCAACATTGCATTGAAATACCTAGTAACTAAAAAGATGCTCTCTGTATTTGTTAAACTGGTAGCCAAATCAAAATGCTTAACTAGACCACAAAAAAAAATATTCAGATGTGTAAACAAAGTTGAAACTAGACAGAAGGAGACCCTTCCATTTCTCTGTTATCATGCTGTGCATATCATCCTCAGTGTTATTTTAGAGGTAGTGATCTGTAACAGCTTAACTACAGTAACAATTCAAGGTACTAACCACATTCCAGTATTCAAACTTCAGAATGGTCAGCTACAGGCAATGCTAATGCTACTCACCTCATCCTTTTTAGTCCATACATGTGTTCCTGTTGTGCAGCCTTCTTGAGCTAAAAATGTATTGAAGTCAGATGTTTTTCTTTTACAGCAGCTCCAATACTTCATCCTTGAAAATGTGCAAAGTAATTAACAAACAGTATTTAGGACACTATTTACTGTGAATACTTAGGATCTTTCCTTTGTGCATTATTACTGTTAATATACCTTCCTCAAGCATTGCCATTTTTGACTGAAGAAGCAATACAAAATGAAAACAAGGCAACATCTACAAAAAAAGAAGTACAAAATAACAAACTAATTAAAAAAATTAGAGTTAACTGAATACTAACCCTTCATGGAATATAGGTACACCAGAATGGTATATACATACTTCTTCTGTGCTCTCTGGTCCTTGGTACGTCTAGCAAAAGAAAGCATTTGAAATATATTATTGTTACAGGATATGGACCAAAGGCAAAACCAAAACACAACTCAAACAGAGACACTGAACAAAGGACTACAAAGCTTTTGAATAAGTAATCTAGAACTAACGGCTTGCCCTAGCTTTTCAAAGTAACCATTCAAACTTCATTCACAGAAGGTTCCCTGGCACTCCTAACAAGCTATACTTTGCAGTTCAATGGTGACATCGTCTATGCTCCTAAAGGTCACTTGAGATCCTCAGAGATATCCATCTTTAATACTCTGAACAGTCAGAGAAAACAAGTATTTAAAAGGAAAAGAACTTAAATTTATCATTCTTAAAACACATGTAAAGTAAACGATATACAACTCTGCCACTGAGTATCAGACCAGTTCCGCCTGAAACAAAAAACCAGATTTTCAGTACAAAACCAAAATCTGTCACATACCCAGTGAAATACCTATTTAAATTCTACTGTCCCATTCCGTACAACACAAGGCCGTTACTGTAAAAAAATTCAGTTTAAATGACTGTTTAATATAAAGACTAGTTTTTGTGTCAAAATGTTTTCTTTGTGGATTCTTCTTGCTGGAGGCATTAATTAATAAGATCTGCAGATGCTTCTGGAATACAGAGGTTACAGAATCATAGAATAGTTAGGGTAGGAAAGGACCTTAAGATCATCAAGTTCCAACCCCCCTGCCATGGGCAGGGACACCTCACACTAAACCATGTCACCCAACGCTCTGTCCAACCTGGCCTTGAACACCACCAGGGATAGAGCATTCAAAAATCCCTGGGCAACCCATTCCAGTGCCTCACCACCCTCACAGTAAAGAATTTCCTCCTTATATCCAATCTAAACTTACCCTGGTTAAGTTTTAACCCCTTACCCCTTGTCCTATCACTACAGTCCCTAATGAAGAGTCCCTCCCCAGCATCCCTATAGCTCCCCTTCAGATACTGGAAGGTTGCTATGAGGTCTCCACACAGCCTTCTCTTCTCCAGGCTGAGCAGCCCCAGCTTTCTCAGCCTAACTTCATACAGGAGGTGCTCCAGTCCCCTGGTCATCCTTATGACTCTTCTTTGGACTTGTTCCAACAGTTCCATGTCCTTTTTATGTTGAGGACACCAGAACTGCACACTATACTCCAAGTGAGGTCTCACGAGAGCAGAATAAAGGGGCAGGATCACCTCCTTCGACCTGCTGGTCACACTCCTTTTGATGCAGGATACGGTTGGCTTTCTGGGCTGCATGCACACACTGCCAGCTCATATTCATTTTCTCATCGACCAACACCCCTAAGTCCTTCTCTGCAGGGCTGCTCTGAATCTCTTCTCTGCCCAACCTGTAGCTGTGCCTGGGATTGCTCCAACCCAGGTGCAGGAGCTTGGCATGGTTAAACTTCATGAGGTTGGCATCAGCCCACCTCACAAGCGTGTCAAGGTCCCTCTGGATGGCATTCCTTCCCTCCAGCGGATCAACCGAACCACACAGCTTGGTGTCACCAGCAAACTTGCTGAAGGCGCACTCAATCCCACTGCCCATGTCAGCTATGAACATGTTAAACAAGACAGCTCCCAACACTGATCCCTGAGGGACACCACTCATTACAGGTCTCCAGCCGGACATTGAGCCATTGACCACAACTCTTTGTGTGCGGCCATCCAGCCAGTTCTTTATCCACCGAGTGGTCTATTCATCAAAGTGATGTCTCTCCAATTTAGAGACAAGGATGTCATGTGGGACAGTGTCGAGCACTTTGCACAAATCCAGGTAGATGACATCAGCTGCTCTACCCCTGTCCATCAGTTCTGTAGCCCCATCACAGAAGGCCACCAAATTGGTCAGGCAGGATTTCCCCTTAGTGAAGCCATGCTGGCTGTCATCAAGCACCTTGTTGATTTTCATGTGCCTCGGCATGCCTTCCAGGAGAATCTGCTGCAAGATTTTGCCAGGCACAGAGGTGAGACTGACTGGTCTGTAATTCCCCGGGTCATCCATTTTCCCCCTCTTGAAAATGGGGGTTATATTTCCCTTTTTCCAGTCATCGGGAACTTCACCTGACTGCCATGATTTTTCAAATATGATGACCAGCGGCTTAGCAATTTCACTTGCCAGCTCCTTCAGGACCTGCGGATGGATTTCATCAGCTCCCATGGACCTGTGCACGTTCAGGTTCTTAAGATAGTCTCGAACCTGATCCTCTACTACAGTGGGCCTAGGGTCTTCATTCTCACGGTCCCTGCATCTGCCTTCCAAGACTTGAGTGGTCAGACCATTTGCCAGTGAAGACCGAGGCAAAGAAGTCATTAAGAACCTCAGCCTTCTCCAAATCCTGTGTAGCTAGCTCCCCTGATAGCTTCCAGAAGGGGCCTACGCTGTCCCCTAGTCTGTCTTTTATTCGCTACGTACCTATAGAATCCCCATAGAATACCTACAGAATATCAAGAGCAATTCACATACTACAAGGTATCTCTCATCAATATTAAACATTTAAAGCTGAAAAAGGTCAGCATCATGGGAAGGGAAAGCTCACTCATTAAGATGTTCAGGTCAGGCTTCAAAGTCATTTTAAGTAATCTCTCAGAGCAATTTCAGTACAAAGCAGCCCACATCCATACATACTAAAGCATGTTATCGAATGTGCATTTGTTAAGCCTGATGGACTTTGTGCCTTTTCCAAATCAATTTGTAGCACACAGGAAAAAACACACCCAAGAAAGAAAACTAAAACTTCATACTCAGTAGTTTAGCAGCTGGGTTTAAGAGTGGAACTGGACCACTTACTTTTGAACAGCCTGCGTTTTTACATGCCGTCCCAATCTTGACTTCATCACTGTCTTCCTCTGTAAACAGAGCAGTATTATAGAAAATAGCAACTGACTTGTATAATGTACTGAATATTTTGCACTGTTAAGAATTAAAACCAGCTAAGGAGTAAATGAGAAAAAAAAATCCCTTCTTAACCTGTCTATTTTCTGCCTGGCACTGAAGTCTGCCAGAAAGATAAAAAGAAAGAGAAATTCCAGAAGCATTCTAAAACCTGTACTACCTGTGCAAAAAGAAACGGGAAACAGATGAGGAAGAACCAACTAGCCTTCACAGGAATTTCACCAGTTTATGAAAGGCTTTATATGACATCGTGTTTGCAGTAACACGGATTAAAGTTCATTTCCTGGGAACGTTTTCAGTCATATATTCAGAAATAGATGCCATCAGGTCCATTTAACCCAGAAACCTTCCAAAACAGGTAGTTCAGATAATTTTAAAGGCAACATATTGCTCCTAACACTCAAGTCTCCACACTGTTCACGTTTACACTTTTATCATCATTCCCTGGGCTGGAAGGTATTTCCCAGATTAAGGACACAATTACATAAAATTATCACTTGAGGAACAACAACAACAACAAAAAAAAAGCATTTACTGGTGTAACCATCAGCATCACATACCAACTTAACCTCACTATATCCTTACCTTTTTTCTCTTCGTTTTCTGATGACAGCTTCAGTTTATCTAGTGCTTGCTTCAAGGAAGCTGACACTTTCAGCTGTAAATTTGTCATTGGCTCATCTGGGCTAAAAAAAGTCCATGTACTTATGTCAGCTTCATACAAAGTCATTTACAAAACACAACAAAGTAGTACATTTTCATCTTGCTGTAAGGCTCCTCCTTTCTAACCACAAAGAAACAATCTAGCTTTACAAATGTCAACTCTTACTGCTTATAGAAAAACACAGTAGAAATTTAGAAGGGAGTCTTGTCATTCAATAGGAAATTCTATATAATCTACAGCAATAAAAACAAATCCAGGAAATTAAAGAATCTAAATACAAGAACCTTGAAGTTATGTTTGTAACTGTTTTATTTCCTGTGAAGCTAAATGCTGAGAGATCCAGTACTACCTTGTCCTAACCTGAATTCTTTTATTTCATTTTGAAGCTTAAGGCAACATCATCATTGCTACCAAACACAAATATTTGGAGGTTTTGTACTAGATAAAATGTGAGATACTATAGGAATAACCAAACAAGCTTTAACTTGGCTGACCACAAATTCGGCAAAACTTAGTTTCGTATACTCCACCTTGGCCTTTTAATTGTTTCCAATGGTTTTGGTGCCTGAATTATGTGTTCTTGAAATCTGGGTTTCAGTTCAGCTAGTTCCTTTCGTTCAGAGGTAGTTTTGACTTCTGGTTTAACAGGCTCAGGAGGCTTCTCACTGTTATGGAGACCCTTTGTACAGCCCTATGGAGGAAAGCATATGTTTATATATACACACAGCGTAGTTTGTGTGCAGAAATCAAAGCTACCAAAAACTGCAGCAGGTTTTCTTGATTTATTTTTTCAGCTCCATCGTTAACTCACCATCCTTTAACCTACTCGAAACATTGGCTACAAAAGAAATCCTATAGCTCAAGTGGAAAATATCTTCATTTGGGCATGCATTAAAGAAAAATGCATGTTTTCCATAATCAAGCAAAGGAATAAAAAATATTGACCTTCTTTCATTATTAACATGCATCTATATAGGTTCTAATAAAACTAATTACCTGTAAATGAGACCCAGATTCAACACTATATCAAGAAAAATAGTGCATGCAAGATTTCAGAGTTTTAACAAAATTATGCCATCTCTCATCAATATTATGTCATTTAACAAGTATAAAAATGGTAAACAACCAGGAGTACATACCACAATGCTTAGGAAGTCAGAAAAGTCTGTTGTTCTTCTCTTGCAACATGACCAACCCTATAAACATTTTGGTACGAAAACAAAACAAGCATGACTACCTTACTTGGCAACAGCTTATAAAAAGCAAAAGACTAACTGTATTCCTTTACAAGATGTCACACATCATGATTAGAGATTTTCTTTTTCCTTTCTTTGGACAATATTATCATCATCTGCATTTTTTAAAGCCAGAGAAAAGTGTTACAGCTGCCATTTCTAGTTTTCCTCAGAAAATTTGGTAAATATGAGACGGTATTTCCATGACAAGCTTGGTGCCAACTCTGTATGGCAGAAAAATAAATTTTACTTTATCTTGTAAGGTAACATGTAAGTGAAACAAAGAAATATTACACCCACGACTAGGCTCACCTGTGGCAGAGCATACATGCCCCCATCCTAAACCAGTAAGAATATTTTTCCTTCCTTGAGCACTACTCAAGTCTTCCAACTGCTCACTTCTTCATCACAAAGCTGGATATCTGCATTGCATAGCCATCTATTCAACCACATCAACCAAGAATATTTTATTATATAAACCGAAATCCAGTTTTAGAGAAAATTATCTTGCCACTCCGAATAATATACCTTGGAGGTCAAGGAACCTTACTAGAGACAACAGTTTGACTAATAAATGCACCACTGCTTGGAGAGCTTAACGGACACAATGGAGTTTGGCAGGTGGTTCTACAACATCTTCAAAATATATCAACCACTTCCACAAGTGAGGAGACAAAAGGTTCACCCTGCCTTTTTAGACTGTCTACGATTTATAGCATGAAGAAAAGCACTCAAAATATGATAATTTTATGATCAGGGCAAGACACAGGATAAAGAGAGGGCTAAAAGTAGTATTTGTTTTAAAAATGGCATGTGTAAGTGGAGTAAAGATGAGCTCTTGAAGCAACTGTGTAATTTCTGTCATTATTAGGTAGAAGTTTGATGTACTATTTTATGAGTACAACTGTGTTTTTGTCCAGAACAAACTCCATAGTCTAAGTAACTGTTTCATATTTGATCTAACAGCATCTTTTCCAATTTGCCAGTGGCACACAACCGCCTATTCCAGAGTTACGTATTGCAGAAAGAGCAGAGCTTACAGGAAACAAGCTTCCCAGCACAGATGCACAAGCTTCCATGAGCCCCAAAGACATCACATTATAAGAAAGGGATGAAGTGCACTGCCAGCAGAAAGAGTTCCTAAGTACCAAGAAAAAATGCTGGCCCCACAGCTCAGATTAACAGCAGCTTGGTTTCCTAAAATAGGTTGGTTAGGCTGCAGCTGTATTAATACAGTAAACAGTGCCAGGCTCCATTTCTGGGCACCAGATTTCTGACCATACAATACTGAAGTGTTAGAATGATTTCCAGTACTGTTTTGGCAGTTGTGTCTAAATAATTCCATGTAGGCACTTGGGATGCATTCAGCAGATCTTGCAGGAAAACAGTTTAATGCAATGAACACAGGCTCTGCAGCTGGCCTAAGCACTAGAGACCAGTCACAGGTACATTTAATTCACTACTAAAGACATGGCCCAAGAATCCTGGACAGCTGCATCAGAGCCATGGGCAATCAGTCCCAACCTAACATTCTTACTCAGCCGATTAAGAGAACACAAATGTTCTTCGCAGTAGCAAATGTCACATACACCTTAACTGAAAGAGGGCAGATTTAGATCAGATACAAGTAAGAAGGTCTTTACTGTGAGGGTGGTGAGACATTGGCACAGGTTGCCCAGAATATCTGTAGATGCCACGTCCCTGGCAGTGTTCAAGGCCAGGTGAGACGGGCCTTTCAGCAAACTGGCCTACTGGAAAGTGCCACTGCCCATGGCAGGAAGTTGGAACCAGAGGAGCTTTAAGGTCCCTTCCAAAACAAACCATTCTGTGATTCTATGATTAGTGCTCCAGCCACATAAGACCACAAGCCGCTGGTCTGAACTCCAAACAGGTTAATTAACTGAAAGAGTATGACACCTCTGAATGCTTCCAAAGACCTGTTCAGAGAATCTACCTAAACTATTAAGACACCTGATGTCAATCAACAGAAAACATGTGTCATACAGACTTGCATGGCATTTAGAGCATGAGTACAGCTTCTCATGTCTTCTTCAGGGCTGTGTAAGTGTGCTTTTCTAACTTCATGGGGTTGCTCAAACATGATAGGATGAACATCAGTTCCTCACTTCATGGTCATCTAACATGAATATCAGTTTCTGAAACACTGGAATACTTGGAATTGAAAAGGAAACAAGCATACTGTTTTACACATATATGACAAAAAAAGATTTAGACAAATACTTGCATGCTTACTTTGAGAGCATCATGAAAGACTGGCACACCTGGATGGTATGTGCAGGATCCTAGAAGGAAATTGCTATTATTAATACTCAGGCATACCATAAATCTTTATTCATCCCATCACAAACCCAGCAAAAATTTCACACTGCAATTCCCATATGCCACGAGCTGTCCCACTCCCCAAACTGCACATAATTATTAAAGAATACATGGACTCCACAGAACAAGCTCTCTGAGTATGTTAAACCTAAATAATCAAGATTTTTTTCTTCTGTACTATACAACACAAAACAGAAAGCATGCATCCAAGACAAATTTCTATTTCCACATGGAGCAACTAAACTTTCTGTGGACCATCTCTTGCCTCCATCAACTATCAGTCCTTACTGGCAATTCAGTGGAAGTAAAATTGGCCCTGTGGCCAACTGAAAGACATAAAACACTGGTTTACACACCAAATACATCTATTTGCACCTGATCAAGGGTTTCTATCCAGAAGCACTGTTAAAAACAGCTCTCAACACAAATCCATCATTTTACCCATGATAATGAGCTTGTTCTTTTTTCAGTGTCTGTAGCATCCTAGGTCACTTCAGGACATGAAATTGATCTTCCACATACACAATTTAGACATGTCAGTGATTAGTAGGTTCTGTAGAAACACCACATTGAAACATAACTTCCATTGATGGAACTGCTTATTTTCATAGATGTTTATCAACATACAGCTTTTTATGTTGCAACTGTTCTTTTTTTACTTAAGGTGTTTTTTCAAAGGTAATATAACTGCTGCAACGTAACTTCTCTTTGACATATACTGCACAGATAATATTTTAATGACCCCACTCTAAAAGTGATGGGAAATACTTGTTGTCTTTTTAAGCAGCAAAGCAAAATTTTTCTTGTTAGAAACAGTTAAAAGCAACATAAATAGTAACAGTTTTTATAATAAGCCTCCATAAACCGGATGAGTGAAAAATACCATAATACACATAATAGGAAGCAAAAGATTAAAGTGTTAAGCAACTTTAGTAGTAATCTGCCTACAGATATTAAATAGGAAAAACAACCAAGCTTCTTCTTTTCATAAACACATTTTTAAGAAATCTTGCTTACTATAATTTTTTTTGATTTTATATTCACCGCTTAAGCATAAGGTACTACCACATCTGACAGGCATCAGTTCGCACCTTAACTCAAAAGGTGGGTATTTTGAGACATCCATGAACTTCTACCAATTCCTTTAGCTTCAGAATACAAAGCTAATGTTGGTAAACCTCACAGGAATATAAAAAAAGAATGTGGCTATTTTGTAAAAAGAGCCCAGGACTTCACTTCTAAACCAAATAAAAAAAAAAAAAATAGAGGTTATTTTGCAAAATATAAAACCATGTTATCACAAGCATCATGGTAGTAGAACATCCCATCGACCCTGAAGTTTAGAGATGCTGAAAGTTATAATCACTCTTCTTCTGTAGGAAATTTAAACTTGGTTCTCGGAAGTGGTCTGTGAGTAACTACATGTACCTTTAGACCTGGTTAGGCTAGGAAACAGTTAATTCCAGTAAGTGTCCAGTTACTCACCAAAATAAACTTCTCAAGAAGCTGTTTCTTACAAGCCAAGCAACATAGCACAGGGCCAGGCCAACCACATCAGTCTACTACAACTTGGTCACAAACATAGGAAAACAGGGTAAAGCACTGTTGTTTTAATAACACTGGTCATGAAGCCCCAGTGAGATTTTTTAATGCAAAACCCCCTATCTGCTTTGTCTTTTGGAGCAAAGGGACCCAGGTCATAGAAGTGATCGCTAAATGGAATCACTCCACAACTGTGATTTTCAACTGCCTGCTTTTCAAGTTACTAACATTACTGAATCTTATTCAAACTGCTGCCCCTCTCTTTGGCAATACTTAGCTCAGAAAAATAAATACACTTTATGCCATGTTTCTTAATCACAGAACTCACATACATGCTAGAACAGGTTAGCCTACTTCTAATCTTGTGGGTCTCTACAAATAAGGCTAATGCAAAGAGGACATTCTAGCAACTCAGCCAAAAGAGTTGCTTTACTAATCACTTGAGAGCAAGCCTACTGAAAACTCAGATCACCCCTTCTGCAGCCTCTGTGGAATTATGAAAACTAAAATGACAGCACTGTGAAAACTGCACAAGCTTTTGGGAGACACGCTTATAATGCTGTCTCTGCATTAAGGTCACTGCATGCAAATGGGAATAACAATAAAAAGGAGGAAAAAAATTGTTTGATCTTCTTTTGCCCCCCTTCCTCTCACCCCCTTATTAAATATAAGGAAGAAATTCTTCCCTGTGAGGGTGCTGAGGCGCTAGCACAGGTTACCCAGAGAAGCTGTGGCTGCCCCATCCATGGCAGTGTTCAAGGCCAAGCTGGACAGGGCTTGGAACAACCTGGTCTAGTGGAAGGTGTCCCTGCCGGTGGCAGGGGGGTGGAACTGGATGAGCTTTAAGGTTCATTCCAACCCAAACCATTCCAAACCAAACCAGGTGCTACATTCACAGTATACACAGGGGAAGCACTGCAAGAACTCATAGCACTTGGAAAAGCAGACACACATATATCGTTAAACACATTTAATTACCAGCTCCTAGTCCACATACTACAACTAAAACAACAGGCACTGGTAACTGCTATGTATGCAACACCCACAGATGCCCTAAGAAGAAACACGTCTGTTCCTCAGGGCATCCAGTTTCTACCTTTAAAACAGATGACAGTAACATACGGAGCAGATCCTTATTACCTCCTTCCTCTCATTCTGCTGTGAAGAGTTTTGTTATTACACAAGAACCCCGCAGTCAGGCCGACCGCCAGCTCCGCGTTTCCGCACCGACGGAAGACCTTCGTGCCCGGGTGGGATCCGCTGTGCAGGGGCCGCGGAGCCTGTAACGGAGCAGCCTCGCAGCACTGCTTCACCACACCGGACCGCTCCTCCACCCCTAAAGACACTGAAACCACCACACAAAACCACGAGCTCCTCGGGGAGAACCGAGCCGAGGCCAGACCGGTGCAGTGACAGACGGGCACGGCGGGAGGGACACGGACACACCACACAGCCCGCAGACCAGGGCTGTCCTGGCTCTTGGTACTGCTGTCCGTCCCTCAGAAACCTCAATGACAGCCCCCAACACCGCACCGCGCCGCGCTCCACCGGCCGGGGAGAACACCGGGCGCGGGTGCCTCAGCTCGCCCCTCACACGTCCCCTGCAGAGCCCTCTGAGATGTCGCCCCTCACACCCCCAGGCCGAAAGCTGTTTGCGGAGCGCTTAAGGATGCACGCCGCGCTCCCCTTCCCCTCCGCCGCCGCTCTCACCCTCCGTGTTGGTTTCGGGGTCGAAGCGCTGGCCGCAGCCCCGGTTGTAGCACAGCAACGACATGGCGGCGGAGCGGAGCGGCCGGCAAACCACCCGTGACAACGGGCACCAGGGAGACTACAGGAGGGCAGCACCAGGGGGCGGGCGGGCCGGCCCCTCAGCGGAAAGAGTCGGCCGGAGCCTTCCGGAAGCTTCACGAAGCTTCGGGCGAAGGGGAAAGCAGGCAGCCGCGGCTGCGCGGGCGGCTGGAGCGAGAGGAGGAGGGGGATGAGGAGCCGCGGCACGGAGCGCATGCGCGGGAGGGAAGGGGGTGGGGCGCATGCGCGGTGGGCGAGGAGTAAGCGGGGGCGAAGGGGTAGGGGTGGCGGTGGGGGGTGTTTTGTGCTGCGTTAGGTCGACTGTATGGCCCCAGTGCCCACGGCAAAGCAGGCTCAGGGCTCAGAGGAGCTCCATGGGGAGCCTTTCAGCTGCAGCAGAAGGGGGCTGATCACCAGCGGTGATCCCCGGATACAGGTGCCTGTTGTGCCGGGCCGGGCCGGGCCGGGCCGGCCTCCTCAGGGTCTCATCCGGTGACTGGGCCAGGGAGGAGCTGAGGGAGGTTGGGCTCTGTTGGTCACAGGTTGGTTGGTTGTGGGAGCGCTGTGCTCTTCAGTCTGGGATCATCAGGAGCCGGCCGGTGCTGGGCTGGTGCTGGGGTGCTTAGCCTTTGGCCGGTTTGAAACTTTTTGTGGGGTATGTAGGTTGTCTGAATCAATTAAAGAAATACTTGGCTATATAAGAAGAGTATAATTAGGAAACTTGGTGCTTACATTCTAAATATCAATCGTACATGTGAGTAATTTAAAGCCCCCTTTTGTATATGTATTAAAAGAGTTGTCTCGTTCTTACAGAAGCAAAGTTACTAACGTCAGAAATGACTGGAAAAGATCATGTTTTAATGTTCACACAGTTTCCTTGAGGTTGCCCTGTGTGCTCCTGTCTGTCAGCTGACCAGCTTACGTGTCCTCTATAGTGTGCCAGCTTCTTTGATGTCTCATAATAGGTTGTACGTAATAATTACAGTGATCTATGTTTCTGCAGGCAAATACAAATTGATTATAGCTAATTAAGTGTCTACCGCACAATTTTTAAACTAGGAGTGCTGAAATGTTCATGTGACATGACAAATCCTGAAGCACTTGTCCCTAGAATGAGAAGGTTAGCTGATCTCTAGAAGTGCTTCTTAGAGGAAATTTAAGGATGCAAAAAGAGTAATTGCAGACTGTTTCCAACAGTCTTATGCAGACTTACAAGTTTATGTGAGATGTGCTCCGCTTGTTTCATTATCTATATACCTTACGTAAAGACAGGTTTGCTTGAGCTGTCATACTAAGTTCTTGCTTCTCATCTGAAGCTCCCTCTGGGGCTTGTGGTAAGACTGGGAGAATAAGCTGCTCAGTTTCAAGTAAAAAAAACCACGTTGTTTTGCTGCTTGCCAGGAGTGGTTTAATGTATAAATGCATGTTGTGATAACAGGAAAGGAAGGGAAGAAGTAAGAGTATAATTGTTATCCTTTTTATTTAGAAAACATTTATTTCTGTTTGTGGATGTCTTACGAAGCAAGAGGATTAATGGAAATATTGCATAATTAAAAGTAAGTGTATTTACATTGTTATCATAGTGTGAAGACTTGTTGCTAAAACAAGAAGTTCACTTATTTGCTGTCAAGTGAAAATGACAGATAGGAATAAAAGTCTGATTTGTAGCTATAAAATAAGTTTTGTGCTATTCCTGGCACTGTGGTTGCATTTCATCTGTAGTGAGCAAGCATACTTCCATTTTAGAAGGATCCAGCAATTTTTGGCTTTGTGGAATGCAAATAAGTTGCACTTCTGCAGAAGCAGCATCAATTTCTGTTTTGGTAATATTATATATAAAATTAAAACCTCTTATTTTACCAGCATGATACTTACGGGCTTAAAAAGCAGCATTCCTATGACCCTAGTGATGGACAATTGGTTCAAACACAGAGAAAACTTTTGGGGAGAAAATATTTAAAACCATATAGTTTCCCAAAAGTGTCATGTGTTGCTGTTCCATACCTAGTTGCTATCTCACTTGTACAGAGACATGCCTTTAGATCTTCCAGAAAGCAATCCATCATGCAGGTATTTGTTTCATAGTTCAAAATTATGTAGTTTATCACATTAAAGAAAACCTGAAAACTCAATTTGTTATTAATTTTAACATACACACAATCAGTTCTCTGAAGTGTACCAAGCTGTATCTGTCATCTTTGTAGGTGATGTTAAGTGGAATGAGGATTTTGTTTTGCAGAACAGTGTACAAGCACAGTAGTTTGTAATTGAGGCTTTTGAAATCACATCTATTCTGCATGCACAAAGCACTACAGTACACAAGAGTCATCTCACAGCAGTCTGCAGAGCTTCAAAAGGCAGTTCCTGTGCTTGATAGGGAGGTGTAAGAGATTTCCAACTGAGTTTTGAAAATGTGGGGAGTGCCTTGTTCAAATAAGAGTTAGGTAATCAGCTTCTTGTGTGCATAATAGGTATTTAAGCCTCATATTCCTGTATGTTTTGTGTAGAGAGTTTTTAACTGGGATTCACAATGATAAGGAACAACTATCTAATGGTTGATCACTGGATGTTGGGTTCCAGGAACCTGTAGTGAAAACTACTTACTTAATTTTGGATGAGTTTTGTTGTTCGATTTTTAAAGTCTTAAAGAATGTTAGACAAACTTTTATGATGTCTTTTAAGAACTGGATCTTGTATTTGGTGTTCTGAGATAATATTATCTGAGAACTAATAAAAGATTTTTGTATAATTTTTTTATTATTATTATTTTTATGGAAGCATAGAATGGTTTGGGTTGGAAGGGACCTGAAGGTCATCCACTTCAAATCCCCTGCCACAGGCGGAGACACCTTCCAGTAGACCAGTTTGTTCCAAGCTCTATCCAACCCGGCCTTGAACACTGCCAGGGATGGGGCAGCCACAGCTTCTGTGGGCAACTGTGCCAGTGCCTCACCACCTTCTTAATAAATAATCTTATTTACACATGTTCTATTTTTCTCACATTAGAAATTCTGCACTTTAAAAAGGAATAGAAGCAGTGTTCTACAACAGACATAAACAGGAGCATGTATTGCTGCTCTGGACATGTATGTCTGCTTTTGGATAGACTGAAAGAGTTTGTGGGAAATAATCTGACAGTGCCAGTCATATTGATGGTAAGAACAGGGTTTTTTTCCTGATCATAGGTGATTACAAAATGTCAGAAATGTTCTGATCAAGGGAATTTTGAAGTAATTCTAGAGAAGTTTAAGCCTTGATCATGGTTTGTATAATTCCATGGGAAACTGCTATTTTTAATACAAGGTCACTGAGCCTAGCAGAAATGCATAGGGGAAATCACTGGCTGGAAAGGGAAGCTGCACATCTGCAGTCCAGAAATCAAAGAATCATACAATAGTTAGGGTTGGAAAGGACCTTAAGATCATCCAGTTCCAACCACCCTGCCCTGGGCAGGGGCACCTCCCACTAAATCATGCCACCCAAGGCTCTGTCCAGCCTGGCCTTGAACACTGCCAGGGATGGAGCATTCACAGGTTCCCTGGGCAACCCATTCCAGTGCCTCACCACCCTAACAGTAAAGAATTTCCTTATATCCAATCTAAACTTCCCCTGTTTAAGTTTGAACCCGTTACCCCTTGTCCTATCACTACAGTCCCTAACGAATACTCCCTCCCCAGCATCCTTATAGCCCCCCTTCAGATACTGGAAGGCTGCTATGAGGTCTCCACTCAGCCTTTTCTTCTCCAGGCTGAACAGCCCCACCTTTCTCAGCCTATCTTCATACAGGAGGTGCTCCAGTCCTCTGATCATCCTCATGGCCTCCTCTGGACTTGTTCCAACAGTTCCATGTCCTTTTTATGCTGAGGACACCAGAACTGCATACAGTACTCCAAGTGAGGCCAGATCTACTTTCCTAATAGTAGTCATGATTTATGGGATTATTATTTCATTGCTGGAAGCTTTAAAATGATGATTGGCTTTGTATGGCATCTGTTGGTCGCGTTCATTTGTGTATACATGTGTACATATGTGTATATATATATAGATGTATATAAAACATTTCTTTCAAGCACAGACAATATATCTGAAGCAGGAATCACACCAGGAAAGTCCTGCATCTTGTTATTCAGGGAGTCAAATTAGATGATCAGGCAGTGAAAATGAGTTTCTCTTGTGGTGAAGGAGTTCAATTTCTTTTCTCAAGGAAAATCCTTTTTAATTTGAGATTCATTACCCTCAATCTGGACCAGAAGATTGAGGTGTCACAGCAACACATTCACTGTGACAGTATTTTTGTTCTCTTTCTAAATCCTTCTGCTTCCCTCAGAGTGCTAGTTGGACAGATTGAGCTAATACATCCAGGAATGTGTGTTGCCTTCTAATGCGCAGAGCTACTGCCAATCCTGTGGGCTTGAGAACTCATGGAAAATGTTTGCTTATTATGCCTGGAGATGATCACTATCATCTGAAGCTGTCTCATCCTCTACAGCTGCATACCATGAAGTTTTATGCATTGTATTAACATTTATGTACCTAAAAAACAATAGGTCAATACTTGAAAGACTTGTTATGGAGGTTTTCAGTTCAGGGCACTCTGTACTATGTAGGAAGCCTTTACCCAGAACTGTATTTGCTGCTTTGGACCAAATAGGTAGGTGAAATATACAGATTGTGATGTTGAAGTGTGACAAAGGATAAATTGCATGGCAATTCTTTGTCACAAACAGCTTTAGGCAGGCAGAAGCGATGTCTTTATTGTGTTTTAAGCTTGAAAATATGTTATCAGATTTGGAATGTCTAAGTAATGATATTTTCTATTGGCTCTCACAGCTGAGTAGCGTGTCAGTGCACCCTTCAGTGCTTTCTGTGTGAGCCATCCTAGATTTCTACCAGTCAGAAGTCATCCCATCTTCTGCATGGTTCATGGAACTTAGACACGAGAGAGTCACAAATTTCTGAGCATTTGAAACAGTAAGGTTTCATTGTAAAAGAT